GAACTGAGATGTATTTTAGAGATTATAAATGCAGCGCTCTTTGCTGGCATTCTGCCATGCCAAACCATGCACGCAGCAACCGCTTGCTTTAGTTAAAAATAACAGTGTTCTGTGAATGTTGATGCTTTAATAACAAATATTTATCGGGAGCGTGTATGCTGGGATTTCATCAATTTAATAAAAAGTAACGTAACTAGTAATGTAACTAATTACTAATTACTTTTGAAATAAAGTAATCAGAACAGTAACGTGATTACTTTTAAAAGGAGTAATCAGTCATTTGATTACATTTTCAGAGTAACTTGCCCAACACTGTGAGGGACTGAGGGATACTAAACAGTTTAAATTAATAGCATGCAATGAATATTGAGATGAATGTTTATTTATCCTTTTATTATTATTCATATTTTGGTCTCTCTCAAAAAAACTACAAGCCCAAGGCAACAGACACAAGCTCCAGCAGCTTCAGGAACATCTCTCTGTGGGTTTCTGCCTGTACATGTAAAAGTATTTTTGTCTGTATATGTGTGTATACCACTTAATAAATTATTAAGAAATACGAAATCCATTTTACTCTCAAGTGTGGTAACGTCATGGACTTTTGAGCTCCAAGAGGCCTCCATGCAACGAGCTAGAGAACCTTCATAATTAACATCATCTTTACTGAGAAAAGAACTTTGTTTTTTATCACGACTACAGTGTGTGCGTTTGTTCAAGGGCAGCGAGTGATGTACATGTCTAAAGTGTCTGCAAAAAATAGGCTATAATGCAGAATACATTTCTAAGATTCCAGGAGTTTCATTTCTAAAGGGATTTTTCTTCTATTTCAGCCATGCCTCTCTAGCACCTGACGTTGTGGAACAAAGGCACGGCTAATATGAAAGGCTCATCTCCCTTCTCTTATCGTACTCTGCACTCCATTTTTCTCTCCCTCTTTCACTCACTGGACTCTTTGACTTTGATCTCTTTCCAGGCATTATTCGCTTCATTCTGGGATGCTATATTCCTTAAAAGACAAGAGTTTATCTATTATTTATAATTGTTTACGGTCATATTTTCTAGGCTGCTCATTTTAAGTTTCTGCAAAGTTTAAGTGCAAGGAATGAGCCAAATTGATTGAAATCAACTCAAGTCACAGACAGCAGAAATATAAGGATTTTGTTTGTCAAATGAGATCAAATTACCTCGAAGATTCTGCCAGCACTGTAACTTTAATGATTGTAGCATGTGAAAGTAATTCTTTTAATTCAGAGCATGTTTGAAATTACAACAAATCGCACATGCCACAACCACCACACAGTGTTCACTACAAGAAAAAAGGTATATGTGCCACATCTTTCATCATTCCAATTAAATTAATTGGATAATACATGTATATTTTTTTGTAATTTATATTGCTGAATAGCTTGGGGAATAAAAATAAAATATCTCTGTACCTTGAAAAATGATTTGAAAATTGTTTGTTGTGGGCTTGTGGAATTGTTTGTTATTCTTATTTTTCGAATAATGCCCTTACTACAAAAAGCACTAAGTCCCTAATGAAATAAAACTGACAAATAGTTTTCAAATAATATACATTCATGCAAACATAGCAGTGATTTATTCTTCATGATCTTGAGATTATTTCAGCTCTGTTAATGAACAAAATGGCATATGTGCGCCAGTGATCCAAAACCACCGTTGTACCACTTGTTTTGGGAGATGAATAAGAAGCAGCAGTGTCATTACTGCACCCTTAGTGTCACCAAACAGAATTACTAAAATGACAACTAAAATGATGTTTTCTCATATGAGTCACATTGTTTACCATAAATGAATCTATGAATGGTTTCCTTGTACTTATCTCTTCATATTAAGCTGGGATATAAAAATGTATTTTTTTTTTTAAATAAATAAATATCAAGGACTGCATTACCAAAAATCCCTTTCTTTAAGTAATAAACAACAGAGGATGTCACAGACGTTTAAGACTATTTTGGATCCTTGTAGTACTGGCTTTAAACACAGTTTTGGAATAAATATTTCTTAACCAAGACAAAACCAACAAAACAAATGGTTTAAATTTTTTTTTGAAAATGTGGAATTCACATCAGTTTCTTTTTGGTTGCTCAAATGAGAGGAAACAAAACAAAAAAAAAATATATGTTGTGATCCATGTAAATAATAATAATAATGGCAAATCATTTCAGTGTAGTTAAAAATCAAAATAAGGTCAATCAGTTTTTAGACTTATTCGGAAACAGCAAATAAACAGTGGAAGCTGTGTGCTCTAATAAACCCTAAGAGAGGCTTATGGCACATGATCCCCTAAAAGGGGATTTCAGAAGTCCTGACCTACAATCAGTGGGACCATCCATTTGCTTTCTGTCAGACACTTGTCTCCGAGCAAAGATTACACACTAATCTAGCAATCTCAGTCGTAATCAGAACACATGTCCACATTTCCATCACCATATGGACATGAACTATTCTGAGACTCCCCTCGATCACTTCTGATCTCCCTGTCATGATTGAAGAACTCAAACCCGAGGGAGATTTTGCTGGCTTAGTCGTGATCAGGTGCTTTTCGGTGGTTACTCTACAGAGAAGCCATCTGAGAAAAGGGCAAACAGACACTCTCGCTAATCAATTTTCAAGGATTAGTAATTGACAGGGTTAGTGCCAATGATAAATGCATAGACAACCTTTCACACCTGATCCAGTCCTCTTAGCACTCCATCTGAGTTCAGATTAATAATGGCTAAGCAGATCAATAATCACAAGCTATGAGGGTTTGAGAAGATGTGACTAGGCTCTTAAAAAAGGTTCAAAAAGGTGTTTTTTTGTTGTTTCCTGAAGAACCTTTCAGCAAACAGTTCTCAAAAGAACCATTTTCTTAGAGTGAAGAACATTATAATAATCTCAAGAACCCATTTCCACTATAAAGAACCTCCAATGCAAAGAAAAGATGTCATGGATATTAAAGGTTATTTATGAAATCATAAATGCAATAAAGAACCTTTATTTTTAAGAAGTGAGTATGTCTTTGCTCTTCATTGCAGGTGCTTATTGCATACTGAGAGTTTTGCTGCTTCAAAAAAAAACATGGTATGCATTACAAAGAAGCATCAGGAGAGTGTGAGTAAGGGAGAAAGAAAGAGAGAGAAGAAAATAGACTTCAAGAGTATTAGAGAAAGACCCCATTTATTAAAAGGTTCAATTTTTGAAAGTGCCATTTTTATCTCTTCTGTGAGTTCTGGGGAAGAAGTACCAGTTACTACACAAAACCGCTTTCCTCCACTTCTCAGTGCTGTATTTATTTAGTTTTAGCATAATTCCTCCTCCATGCCCATATCGGGGGAACAAGAGTCTTCCCGACCAGACCCTGTAATTGCGCCTTTTTCTTTTATTTGTGTGTGCCTTGCCACCGGCAGTGAATTAACATGGCTTAACAATGTTTTGTTTGTAATTAGCAATGAAGTGCTATAGGGTTTCGCTGCTAGTGGCAGGCGATTACCTGCCCGCTCAAAGTGACTTCCTAAACATCTGTGGGGATTAGAGCAGAGGGGAAGCCATCAAATGGCAAAGCAGATGGCTGTCAAGGGACACTCGGCACAGAAACCAATATTTTGATCGTTTGTTTTAAGTTGCCAATCACGTAGGTCCATAAGGGAATTTAAAGAGAGGGTTTCGCCACTCACTAATCTCACAGTAAACTAGAGAAGAAAGAAATTGCTGCGGGTCAGAACCTCAAAGATGCTCTGGAAAGCCAAAAGATACATCAAGTATAAAAATCAAACACACTTTCATGGCGATTTGGGTCACAATACTGTTATAACAGGTCAATGACAAGAGTTTTTTTTTTTCACAGATATCATAACTTAAATCGTTATATATCTGTAAGATTTTGGGACTAAACAAACCTTGTCTTGTTCTAAAACGGTCAAATTATTATTTTAAGAGACTTGACAAAGTCATTGGGGTCTGCAGGGGTTCATTCTATGAAATAAATTGTTCAGCATGTTTGTTGCACCACGTGATGTTGGTCACATCACACGATATGACTTAGGAGCCATCGGTTTTGAAATAGTAATGACCAGTTCTGAGGAGAAAAAAAAATTATTAAAGACTATGCCAAATAAAGTTTAATTCTTTTAAAGTCGTGATTTAAGGGAAGTAGCGACAGATCTTTTCTTTCATGTTGTGACATATCAGCGAGTAGAAAAAGAAAAAATGCAGGATAGGGATTTGGTTCTGTCTGTCGTTTGTTGACTGAATGGATGCAGGTCTGAATACCAGCTTGATTGTAAGACAGTTCAGCATACGTCACCAGAGAGAAGTCTGTCGGTTCACTGGAAGATCAAGTTAAGACAAATTAACAAATAAAAAAAACCTTGTCTTGTTCTAAAACGGTCAAATTATTATTTTAAGAGACTTGACAAAGTCATTGGGGTCTGCAGGGGTTCATTCTATGAAATAAATTGTTCAGCATGTTTGTTGCACCACGTGATGTTGGTCACATCACACGATATGACTTAGGAGCCATCGGTTTTGAAATAGTAATGACCAGTTCTGAGGAGAAAACAAAATTATTAAAGACTATGCCAAATAAAGTTTAATTCTTTTAAAGTCGTGATTTAAGGGAAGTAGCGACAGATCTTTTCTTTCATGTTGTGACATATCAGCGAGTAGAAAAAGAAAAAATGCAGGATAGGGATTTGGTTCTGTCTGTCGTTTGTTGACTGAATGGATGCAGGTCTGAATACCAGCTTGATTGTAAGACAGTTCAGCATACGTCACCAGAGAGAAGTCTGTCGGTTCACTGGAAGATCAAGTTAAGACAAATTAACAAATAAAAAAATTAAAAAACAATAAAAGAATAATAATTAAAATGTGCAAGGATTAATTGTTCAAATAAGATCTATAACACACATTTATAAAACAGAAATTTCATTTCATGCCAACATTAATGAGGCTTTTAACGAGGCTCAAGAAATAACTAATTTAAAAAAAACTAAAACGTGCTCTTCACACTAAAGGTGTATTGAAATCGCTGTACAAATTGCACTTTTAATGTATTTTTTAACAGAAAAAATTAGCTTGTCATTGACCTTTATACTGCTATGACAATATCAAACTGCAATAAAGCTTCACAGAAAAATGAAAAGCTACAGTACTTTTGCAGTGGCTCTGCTGACCTTGGTTGAATATATACAATCATAGTTGCCAAGTCCGCGTATTATACACGACTTTGGGCTTCTTTTTTTGTAAAGTTGCGTGAAAAAATCCGCGTTTTTTTGGGCTTATTTTTTAAAATATGGTTGCTTGTTAGGGAAATCTGACAAGCAACTACGTTTCTTTATTTATGTTCGCCATATTCTCCAATGCATAGAATGACACTCTGTCTGCTCGCAGTTAATAGCCAACCAGTGCGTGCTGCAGCTTAATTTGTCAAATGTTCCGCCCCCTCCTCCCCCTCATTGGAGGGGGCGCCTTCAAAAAGAAGGCGCGTGACGCTGTAATCCAAGCGATGATAGAAGTAGACGTTGAGGAGTGGGATGACTTTCTTTTAGCCTAATTTTTCATTTTTACAATGTTTTTGTAATGTACTAATTATCACGGGCTGTAATAAAAAACAAGTAGTCCTATACTAATACTAAGAGTATATACATTTGGTTCGAATAGCCTATATTTTAGTAGGCTATAATAAATATGTGGCTATGTTACAGCTC